GTGTGAGTGAGTGTTCGTGTGCGTCCAATTTGATCGCGGTTCCCTCCATGTCCGCTGCTGCTGCTGCTGCTCGAGGCTGCGGCGATGCACACGGCGTGGTCAGGCGAGACGGTGTTGCAGTCGACGTTCTAGTGGAGGAGGAATGCACCGTCGAGGCAAGGAAGCCAGGGTATCGTGCATCCAGGCCCCCCCCCCTTCTCCCCCATGCTTTGCAACGCGCTGCATGCACTCACACTGCACACGCAGTCGCTGCCGCTGCCTCATTCTGTCGGCGGAAGGTAGCCCGCTGGCTGCGCACAATGCCGCGTGGTGCGTTACAAAGGGCAGCAGGAGAGGCAACATCGGACATGTGCTCGTCCAGGCGGTGCGCGCAGATGCGTCTCGGCATGGGCGCGTTGTTCAGGTCGGCCTCGAAATCGGCCATGGCAGGCATAGTAGGCAAGGTAGGCAAGGTAGGCAAAGTAGGCATAGTGGGCGTAGGCGTAGGCGTAGGCGGAGGCGGAGGCGGACGAGGCAGTCGACCTAGTGCCCGCATAATGACACCTATGGCCTGGGTAAACTCTGCGCCTCTGTGCAGCGCCGTCCTCTAACACGCCACGGGCAGAGGTGTGTGTGTGTGTGTGTCTGCGTCTGCCACTCCCCAAGGGAAGCTCCGTGCATATCTCCGCCACGAGGCATCGCTCGGCCTGACTCGAGCGAATTGCGCCGATCCATGCGAAGCCACAAAAACCCATTCTGAAGCTGCTGCAGGCAGGGGGCCGCCCCTGTCACTGTCACCCGCTCGCTCGACTTGCTCCAGCAGAGCGTTCCTGGATACGAAGGCGCCAGACATTAGCCGTGGGCCCTGGAAATACCTCTCGCTCACGCTCGTCTTTCGCCTGTCGGCTAGCACACTTGCCCCCCATGCCCATGCCCATGCCCACACCCATGTCCATGTCCATGCCCCATGCCACGCCACGACTCGCGACCCATCAGGACCCCTCCCCATGCGGCCAAACTGCCAGTGTGAGATTTATTGGCAACGCCATCAGCATCTCGTAAAGATGAAAAAATAAATCAATCCAATGCCTACCCGAGAATCAGGCGGTTGCCGCTGCCCATGCATTGTCGCGTCGTGCTGCCCGCTGCAATGTCCGATGCGGCGCCGCTCGAGTCACATGGCCGGCGAGAGGGAGAGGGAGAGGGAGAGCGAGCGGGAGCGGGAGAGCGGGAGAGCGAGAGAGCGACAAAGGATGGACTGCGCGCACACATGGCCCCGAGGGCCGCGATGCTAGTATGTATACCTTGGACCGTACAGGTGAAGTCGACATAGTCTAGTCGCGGCGTGGTGTTCGCGTTATGATCGAAGTTACCTCCCGCTCCCGTTCGACGGCGCATGTGCAAATGGCTAGTGGCATCTATTCGTATTCATCCTGGGTCCGATCAGTCTTGGTGTCGGGCGGCCAATCACGTCGCGGCCGTCTCAACCAGATGCACTCATCTTGCTTCTGCCCAACAGGCGCAGCGTCGGCTCCAGAGCAACACAGACATGTCGACGGCCACGGCCACGCCCACGCCCACGGCTGCCTAGGCCCGAGGACGTCTATGACGACATCATTCAGCTGAGGGTCATGCAAAGTCATGGCCAGCCCATGAGTGGCTGGGCCCCCCCGACGGCATCGGATGCAGGCCTCCGCACCAGAGACGCTGGGGCTGGGAGCAGACATGTCCACATGTACCATGTACCGTTGAGCCGTTGAATATCGACAGTGACATGGCAGCTCGCATTTGGCATGTCGCGTCCAGCGGATGCGCCTGGTCTGGCATATAGCACGCTGGTGCTGGTGCTGCATCTGCCAGAGGCGCAGGGATGGCGGCAGCCGAGCAATGCCAGCCAGCTTGACAGCTTCGCATTCGCGAGATAGCGCGCGCGGCCCAGGCCAGGCGCGGCGACGTCGAGTCTGCTGACTGACGGACTGACTGACGGACTGACGGACTGGCGGACTGGCGGACTGGCGGACTGGCGGACTGGCGGACTGGCGGACTGGCGGACTGGCGGACTGGCGGACTACGGACTGACTGACAGACAGGCTCGCACACAGGCGCATCCAAGGCCGAGGACGGCTGCACAGGGGAGCCAGAATGACGATGGCCGAGGGTGAGTGTGTGGAAGCGGGGATTTGAGGCGAGGCGAAACGGCCCATGCGGCGAGTGGTGCGCGGATTGCTTTAGTGCATCGCGACATGTGAGATGCCGTAGCTATGATGGTCATGGCCTACTGCCTACCGCCCACCGCCCACCGCCTCCACATACCGCATACCGCATACCGCATACCGCATACCGCATACCCCCTCGGGCGTTTACTGCCCGTCAGCGGCGGCTGCGTCATTTGGCAACCAAGGGCGACTGCCCCTTCCCTCGCAGCGCCGCCGTCTGTCAGCAAAGCACGCGCTGTAGGCCTGCAGGCCATGTGCGAGGCCGGTCAGCAGCACTGGCCTGTGGCTGTGTCGCCGTGTGTGTGTGTGTGTGTGTGTGTGTGTGCGTGTAGCGGCAGCAGGTCACGGCCAAGGCAGGCAACCGACGACCATCTGCCGCCCGTGATGCGTTTGTTGCATGTTGCTTTTCGCTCACACCGCACTCGAGCGGCGACAGAGAGGGGGGGTGGGCAGGGCTGTGTGTGTGTCGGGGGTTCGCACTCATGGACGCATTGGGCATGAGTGCCGGTCGTCGAGGTCTGTGCCGTTTCCAATATTTGCGTGCAGTCGTTTTGCAGGCCGCTCGTACCGGGGGGGTCCGCAGACGGCCGCCGCCCTGGTGGTGAAGCATCTGCGCTGCGCGTGGGAGAGCAAGAGGGCGTGAATGCGTGCGGATTGCGTGTCATAGGCGTAGTAGCAGGCAGGCGTAGTGTACACGCACACGCGATATCACCCCAGGCCCACGGCTGGTGGTTTGGGGTGCTAGGCGGTGCGCGAATGTACCATGCCGCGTCTAGCGCGAAGAGCTAGCCTTCAGCCTCATGCCATGGCCGCATTCTTCTTTGCACGTCTGGCTACACACGCATTCTCTCCCTCGCACCCCCCACCCCGCCACAGACACCTGTACTGTACACACACACTCTCCCTCCCTCCCTTCCACGCACACATCCAGCAGACACACCGCACCGCGACGAGGCCCGCCAGCAGCGAGCGGCCATGCGCACGCACGCACGTACGCACGCACACACGCATGCATACACGCAGGCTGGCGGGCTCGCAGGCGACCGGCGTGGAGCAGAGCCGAGGCTCGCGCTGCTGGGGTCGCTGGAGTCGGGGGGTGGGCACGAGGCCAGGCAAAACGGGTGCAAAGGGCGGTCAATACGTCAGGACGGCGGGTTAGTCAGCACGCGCACGGTACGAGGCCTGTCGGGCTATTTTGCCCACTAGTGCCGCTGCCCATCTTGTCGCCTAACCATCTTCTGTGTTAGCACCCCTTCTAGCCTACATCGCCAATCTGCCCAGCTCAACCACCATCAACCCCCCCCCCAGACCAGACCAGACCAGACCAGACCAGACCAGACCAGAGAGAGCCAGCCAGACCAGACGTGTGCCCGGTACCTTGCCCTAACGCTGCCCGCCCCAGGCACACCAGATTGAGATCGCGCACCCGCTCTGCGACTACACGCGCAACTGCCACCGCGCTGCGCGATCGTCGCCCCCCCAAGCCCACGTCAGGCAAGGCGCTCCACTGCCCTCTTGTTCTCGCGCGCCCGCGTCAAGCTGTCTGCTGCTGCTGCTGCTGCTGGCTGCGCGCGCACGCTGCGTCGCCATCACCTGAGCCCCCCCCCCTCAAAAAAGCGCACCAGATCGCCCCTCGGTCGACGGCCCACTCGCGTGGAGCGAGCGTCTGCACCGCGTGCTGCTGCTGCCCTTTTGCATCCGACGCGCTCCTCACCTGCTTCCCCTCTCGTCCCTTGCCCGCAGAGCCAAATTTCCACGGAAAACCGGCTGCGACAAGAGGCTGATCGCTCGGCACGCTCGGCGTAGTTGAGCTTTCTGGGACAGAGTGCGCTGGGAGAGAGCCACACTGTGCGCGAAACCTTCAGTCATCGATACCACAACGGGCCGACTGGGAGCCTTTTGCCCCATCACTACCTGCGGAGCCAGTCAGCGCACACGCATCCAGAGCGACCTCTTCGGTAGCCGCCTGCGCGCGCACCACCCACCCACCCCTTCACCCTTCGGCGAACAGGCCTAACCCAACCCTGGTTTCTTCGTCACTAGCGTGCTTCTACCACGGACCCGCACGCACGCACCACCACACACACTCACACTCACACGCACTCACACGCACTCACACGCACTCACACGCACACACGCACACCACACACACCACACACACCACACACCACATACCACATACCACATACCACACACCACACACACGCACACTCACACCCCCCCTCCTCCCCAGCCCGCCCGCCCTCGCCCTCCTCCCTCGCCGCACGCACTAGAAGCCCGCCCTCGCGCAGGCCTGCGTTCCACACTTTGCTCGCCGCGCCATCCCCTCCTGGTCCTAGGCGCTCCACCTAGAACAGCAGTCATTCCCACTGCTACGGCTCGGCTTTACCGACTAGGCCCGCATCCCTGTCGCTGCCTCGACGGGCGCGAATTACCTCATCGAGTGTGCTAAGGCCTGCTGGGCAAGCCGCGATTCCCTCCACGCGGCTCCATTGGTCGTCGCACGCAAGCCGCACGCCACTGAGTCTAAAAGCCTTTAGGCCGCGCTGTCACTAGCTGTGTTCCAAATTCACTCTCGCCCCAGCAGACCCGCAGTGCAAGCTCGTCCTTCACTAGCACCGATTGTGTAACCTCTGCGTTGCACTTCACTCTGCACCGCGCCAGCTGCTCCGCGATTCGAGAGATCTCTGCCCGCTAGCCTCTGCCTCCCCTGCCCCCCCCGGTGCCCTCGACCTTGCGTCTTCCGTGCGTTATCTTTTCGACGGCGCATATTTGCCGAACTGCTTGTCCTCCACCTGGGCGTCGTGGAAACCACACCGTCTGCAAATCATCCGCGTTTAACTTCCACGCTACCCACGACCTGACCACTTCGCTTCTCCGGTTTTCTGGCTGTGCATCTCTTGGCCGAACACAGGCTACGTCTTTATACGCTCTAGCTGCCTGTCTTCCACAGACCGCGGCAAATCATCCGAAGACGGTTTGCGACGGACATATCTCTGCAGCCATTCCTCCTCGTGGGCGCACGCATCCAGCCATCCAACCTCAGCTTAGAGTCTAAGGTCCCCCTCGACACGCTGCCCACTCCTCTCAGTCTATGGACGCACGGCAAGCAGACTACCCGCAGTCAGGTTTGAGCTCGCCCTACCCAACCTTTCCTGAAGCTGTTTCTGAGGGAACCTCTGCAGATCAAGCATCTGCTGCGCAATACCCTCCCTCAGGTCCCGATCCTCGCTCCTCCAACCTCACGCCCAGTTCCGACTACAGTCTGAACCCTTCGTCTGCTCGCTCAGGCTCCTTTCCGGAATACATTCAACGTTCGTATCAACCCGGCGCTCAAGGG